TTGCCAAGCGACGAAAACCCAACCCCGATGGCAAACACCGGGGGGGCGATAGGGGGGGGGTTCTCAATCCTTAGTTGTTAGACCATGCGTCCTCGAGAGGAAGGGGCGATATTGTTACCGCAGGACCGATCACCGTTCCTTCCTACTTCGCCAAGGGTGGCTGAAAAATGTGTTCCCTAGCATAATAGTTTTGTGGTGGGCGGCCAGCGAGGGTTGGCAACAAAAGCAGCAGCGGCAGCAGCGGCAGCGGCGGCGGCAGTGGCATCAGAAAGCCAGCAAGTTCTGCCCGCACCCTTGTCCACAGGCGCCCTTTGTCCTCGCTCATTCATCCTCGAAGCCCCAGCGGCGGCATCAGACAAACAAGCAACTTGGAGTACTCAAAACGCCCGCGCTGACAATCAAATGCGTGCTCGCTCCTTTAGCCAAAAAAGCGAGGGGCGACAACAAGCAGCAGTCTACAAGACGCCTCACACACCTCTGTACTTTTGCCGCAACGAGATATCAGCTGTCTAGACACGCAATGTGGTGACATAAATTGCCGTAAACGGAGCCGCTTTCATGCCGCAACTGCTGCTCTGAGTGAAGGCGAGCAAGGAAGAAAAGAGAACGAACGCCCTGTGCATGTGTGTACGTTGTCCCATACACCATGGACGTCAGTGTTGACCCCTTTCGCAATATTTTCTGGGCGAATCAACCGGGGTCGTGGCCAACGACGAGGAACGCCCCCTATTGGTATTTTTATTCTTTTCCGCCTTCCTTCAGCTGGAAAACATTGCTCACGTTACAAAGGAGAGTTCGGGGTCGACGCCTGAGAGCGATATCCCCCAAAAAAAAGCGCACACAGCGACGCTAGTATCTCGTTTCGAGGACGATTTTTCTGAATCCACGTTTTTTTTTTCCGTTCGTTTTTTCTAGAAAGGCGTACCCTTTTGGGGGGTAGTTGGGTTGCGTCCCCGCGGAAGTCGTTCGCGTCGGTTGGATCGGTACGGATATCAGAGGGTACTGAGCGAAAGTTACGACAACAACAACCAAAACAACTACAGCGAAGCTGACGCGTAAAGCGCACTTCGCCGCAAGTAGACATACCCTCACCTTCCACGCCGGTGGCGATGCCTTCGCCTCTCCTGCACCCTGGGAGCACGCGGCAACCTTACCAAAGCCCGGCATTTCCCGCCACGACCGTTGCCTCCAACTTTCTTGGAGGTCCACATCGCTGCCGTCGGCATCATCGTCATCACCGCCGCGGTCTTTGCCAGCCAGGCCGCCGCCACCGTCGCCCTCCCTACCCTTTCTGTTGGCTGATGCTTTCGACCCCTTCCTCCAACACGCCCCGGGCTCCAGGTCCATGGCAAGCCTCGAGGCCAGCTTGCCCTTGCTTCCTTCCGCTGCGCTCGGCGCCAGCATGGCGCTCTTGCACCCCTGCCCGCTGATTACCAGGTCCGACGTCTTCAAGGCCGCGCCGGCTAACTTTGTCACGTTCTTCAGGCTGCCGTTGGTGAAAGCGGCGACGCCGTAGCCCCCGGCCGTCAGCCTCGACCCGCGCGCACCCGGCCTCCCCGCCGCCGCCCCGCGCTGCCCGGCCTTGGTGCCCGCCCTCCCTCTCGCTCCCCTTTTCCCCTTGCCGCCTCTCTTCCCATCGCCGGACTCTCCGGAGTCGACGTCGCTGCTGGTGCCGTCGTCATCAACGTCATCGTCGTCGTCGTCATCGTCAACTTCCGATGGTACCGTCGCCGAAGAACCTTCCGAGACGTTTCCGCCGCCGGTCCCGTCCTCCCCAGAGTCAACCTCGGTGGCCGCAGCGGCGGCGGCGGCGGCGAGAACGGCGGCGGCCTTTGTCGCCGCCTTCCGCTTCCGGACCTTGCCGGCGCCGCCGGCGCCGCCGCCGCCGTCGCTGTTGGGGGCGTCCGAGTCATCATCAAACTCGCCGTAGGCCGGCTCGGGGGGGTTGGGGTCGCAGACCGCGTTGTCAACGTGGTACTTCCATCCCCCCTTGGTCTTGTAGGTCTTGTGGCACCTCTCGCACGTGACCGGCTGGAAGAGCGCCAACTTTTTTTGGAGCCGTCGAGGGGGCGGGAATCGGCACCGGGAGCAACAGGAACAGGAAACGGCGGACGGGGAATCCCTTTGGCTCTGTCTGTCTGTCTGTCTGTCTGTCTCTCTCTCTCTCGCTCTATCTCTTTCTTTTGCATCCCAGTCTCCGTCCTTGTAGTCTATCCACCTCTATCCCAGTCTCCATCCGTCGGTCTTTCTGCTGCCTGTCTCTCTGCCTCTATAACACTTTCTCTCTGTCTGTCTCTGTGCCCGTTCCCGTCTTTCGTTCTGTCTCTTCTCTTTTCCACCTCTATCTGTATGTCTGTCCGTCTGTCTCTGTCGCTCTTTCTCTTACTATACCTCTCTCCGATACCACGGGGAGCAACATGCCCTTCGTCAACCGCGCTACCTCATCAGAAACAACATCTCACGTTTTTCGCCGCCTTCTCAGCCGTGCCCATGTCCACCCCCAAGTCTTCCAGTACCGGAAACGGAGGCGAGTAGTGCCCGACCTTCTCGTCCATACCACCCGGAGGAAGAGCAACCCTTTGCTTGCCGTTCCAGTAGACGCCATGGCTGTCACGCATCTGTTTCAAGGTCTTATTGCACACTTGATGCTTGATGTGGTAGCTGGGAATCACAGAGGAGGGGGACGGACAATGAGGGTGGGGGGGGGGGGAAGGCG